TGTCTGTGTTCATAACTATGCAATTTACAGATTAATAACATTTTCATCATCAGAAATTAATAGTTTGGAATAACAGAGCACGGTAAAGATAGCCACCACTAAAGGTTAGCTGCAGTTAGCAAAGGAAGCCATTGACTGTCCTTCAGAAAATAAATTGGCAAATTCCACAATAGGTCTGTGATACTTCAGAGAGATTAAAGAATCAGTATTGTCTTACTTAATTGCAATGTCTTTGTAAGTCCATGTATTTTAAGTTGAAGACAGCAACTTGGCACAAAAATTCTGTGTGTTGTGGTTATTACTATTTTTCCCGCACTCAGAAATTATTATTGTATTTAAATGTGAGGTCTTTAAAAACTGTGAGGACACAAAAAGATCAGATTTATTTTATGAAAATGTAATTTATTGAAATAATTTTGCATTTTATGAAGCATTAATCATGTGCAGAATGTCTGTATGGAACATTAATTTGGGGCAGTAAGAATAAGCAGCTGCAGTTCCCTGATACGGTATCTGCAGCTTTTGTATTAATTATCTCATAACATAGACTAACCGAAGTAGAAAATTCATTATGTTTAGTTAAATAGTAAGGAAATCGAAGGGCTTTTATTTGTTAATGTCAAGGTATTATCTTCCTAAAATCACTGGCCCTAGAGCTAGCAGATGGCTGATAAATATCAGCTTATAGAAATAGAAATATATGTATTAATTTTTTCAGTTTGCAGCGTTTTTTTAAAAAACAAACCAACCAGTTCTAACTGTATATCTGGGATGGTAAAAAGATGACTGAAATGCCTGTCCCATCCTTTAGTTACAGGTTTGGAGGGATTTTTGTCCTTCTGCCAAATTTATTGGGTTTTGCTATCACATTTCTTTTTGCCATATGTTACTCTTCCCATTTGTGACAGATGATGCAGAGCTAGAAGTGCTGCTCTATATTGCAGGAATTGTAAGTCACTTGCCTACAATTCTTAGACATTTAGAATTAGCCACATGGGTACTAGCCCTTATTCTGGAGCCAGGAATTTTCAGTCCAAGTAACCAGTTCCTCAGGGCTAAATTCACAAACCTCTGCAGAATGGCAGCCTTGCAGAGTACTGTCATTGAGTAGTTACGTGTGCTGTAATGTTCCAGCTTACTATAGTAGATAATGTCTTTAAAGGCAGCACTGAGTTCTGGTGGCAGTTCTAGGGTTACTGTATTTTCAGAAGAACATTTAAGTGCCTGTGCTGGAACAGATGCTCAACATTTACCATACAGCCATATGATAGTACATGATTAGTAGGTAACACTTTGAAAGGGCATTGGGCTATATGAGCATCAGCTGTGGTGATGACTCCTAATAATCCTGTTCACAGCTGATTGAGAATTGCTGCTCTGACCAGGTTTCTGGGTGTCTAGCAATCCTGGACAGATGGATGCAATCCTCAAGTTACAGCATGAGGAAGTACTCTTGTACTTTTCAGGGAGAACAGTACAGAGCTACAGAACAGTTGATAGTAGCTCCTTTCAAAGAGGGGTTGTCTCTCAAAGGCTGAGGAACCCTCACATGAATTGCATGATGATCACAGGACATGAATGACTGGCTGTACAGTGCCCTGAGCAGCCTGATGTAATTAGACCTACGTTTAGCTGAGAGTAAGACTGAACTAATTATGGAGACATTGTTTGATTCTGGGAATCAAACAATATCATATTGCTTCTTAATTACAGTGTTTTTTAAAGTCATATGCAGTGATTCTAGTATGTTGAAAAAGTTTGAATAGCAATAAGTCTTTCTTGGGTACACACTGATTGCTCAGTTGCCCATCTCACATGAAGTAATTACACGTTGACTCTAAAGCACGGTTGATACGTACCGTTCTTCAAGTTTTCTATATTCTCTCTTTATATTTACTTCCTGCTTATTTTATTGTATAAATGAATTTATGAGTATAGTCCTGCCTGATTGAATGAGATTGTGTGTACTGAGGAAGAGCATCTGTATAGTGTGCAGTATCACTTCTTTTCTTTTTTTTTTTCCCTAAATCTTTTTTTGACCCTTTACTTAGTGAAAGATACTGCTTCATATAACAGTATTGCAGTGTGCTCATTATGTCCATGTCCATTCAATACTTACCAAGCTACAGATAATTTTTTATGTGTCTGTGTTTATATAAAAAGGAAGCACTATTAAAATAACTTACTTTCTCTTATGTCAGGAAGCTAAGACTAGTTTAAATATGTTAGGGAATTCAATACATTATGCTAGTGCTAAAACATGTTCCACATGTCTTTACAGTTTTCAGTAGCACTCTTTTTACTTCATTAATTAGCTTGAGTTGAAAGGCACTAGAAGAACTCAGGCTGATACAGCCTTTTCAAATATTTTACTTCCAATCTGTAAAATATATTCAAATGCCAACACAAATCATAACATTTACTGTATGTGAAAACAGATTGAACAGTTGTTTCCACCTAACATTTAAATAATATTTATCATAAAGATATATGTGGATTAAGTACCTATACATTTTAAGATACCTTCATTTTATTTTTGCATAGCCATAGCTGTTAATTTTGGAGACAGTCTCATTGCTTGAAATGACAGTAGACTCCAGTAACCTTTGAGCTAGTGACTTTGTATTACCTTGTACTAATTCTCTTAATGGCTACTAAAATTGATTGTAATAGGATTGCCTTGCATTGGCATTATACAAAAACAGAAGTACTTCTTGGCAGGTTCCTGAGTGGATTCATGTGATTTAATATGCATTTTTTGATTACTGTCTAACCTTCTACAACCTTTACTGTCTGTCTTTCACCATTAAAGATTCATCTCCCAGTCTTATCAGGTGAAATAATAGTCTGAATAGGTCTGAATTACCTCATCTTGACCTATTTTAAATCAGACAAATTTTGCTCAATAATTTCACTAGTCTGTATCTTTACAAGCTCATCACTGGAATAAAAAGTTCCTAAACATTTTAAAGTATGTATCAACTAATTAATCTAATTTTTCATCATACGGTATAACCTCGAGTGAGCATGTTTCAATGGCAAATAGCATTCTAGTTGAAAGGATTGTTTGGTTGATCATCTCTGTTACAGGAGATGAAGTTGAACATGAATGTGTTATCTTATTCCTAATTGGCTCGGCCTTGGCCAGCAGTCAGTCTGTCCTGGAGCCGGCTGACATCGGATCTGCTGGACATGGAGGAAGCTTCTGGCAACTTCTCACCCAAGCCACCCCTGTAGGCTCCTGCTACCTAAACCTGGCTGTACAAACCCAATATACAGCTGTAATGGAAGGAGAAATTAAAGAGGTGCAGAGTGTCTCGAGTTAATAGCAGATTCTTTGTGCTGAGCTGTCAGCTGATTGCAAGAGTTGGTACAGGAAGGTGTCATTATAGCAGACATGGAAATCCCACGTGCTTGAATTATGATACGTAGTCTTGGATCAGGAAACCATTTTCATCTGGTTGTTGTAATACATTTTTGAGTACACATGCCTATTTATCATTACTTTTTTTTCCAGCACCCTATAAATTGCCAGGAAAGAAATAATTCTGTTACACAATAGAGAAGCACAAATACAATTTTTATAAAAACGTCGATCCATAATATATGCAAATATTTGTATAGTTAAATTGTACTTTAGTCTTCCATTGATAGAATCAAAGCATCAAGAGGGACTTCAGTAAAGAATAAATAATCCTGTGCTTAGATGCGTGCAGTTGTACAGGTATTGATAGCTGTTGACATAATGATGTTTCTGTCCTATTCCAAAATACAAATAGGTGTTTCACAGTGTTGTTCAATTTAATGAAGTGCTAAAAAAGCTATGTCACTAAATGTGTTGGATTGCTACACAATGAAGGAAAAGTAAGCAAACTGGAGATTTATTTTCAAGAGTGTCACTGTGAAGCTCTGCCATCTTAGGTAGGAGCTCTTCAGGTTGTAGCTTAGTTACTGGTTGACCTGGAAAGTGATCCCAATTTGGAAATTACAGCTATTGAGAATGGCAGTGCAAGGTTACCAATGCAGGGATGCATCTGGTGTCTTTTCTGCTCTTTTCATCTTCCAGATCCTGTCATTTCTTTAGTCTTGTCTTAGCTTTTCCCAAACAAATGGGAAGATGGAGTTCTGGGTGGGATGTCTACTTGCTTCAAGCGTGCCCTTTCTTTGTCTTCTCAGTGACTAAGCCTCTTACCGGCACCTGTATGATATCTGCTTCTGTTGCTGGCTTCTCTACAAACTGCCAGTGCTGGACAGCACTTCAGCCAGTCTGCTACTAATCTGCTGCTCTTGGTGCTACAGATGCTCTCTTTGGTCTGATGTACTTTTTCTGCCTTCACTATTTCTCGTCAAAGAATCCATCCTTTCCATCACCAGGTGGCTGTATAATTGCCTGTCTGCCGTCGCGTGCACATAGGTTCGGCTTGTGAAACTCCATGCTATGGTATAAACTTCCAGCACATTGCTGAAACACTTCTGCTGTCAATTCTGTTTCCTCTTTTCATGCCTCAGCATAGGAAAGCAGGTTGGGTGTTCATTATTACCTGCCTAAATCGAACCTCTGACGTATTCTGGTAGGACTTAGATTAGCATTGCCTTAATGAACATGGAAATGAAAAGACAAAAAACTGTCATTGGTGTCTCAGCCTCATCTGCAGTAAGATGTGAAAAATACCTGTGCTACAACTGTTCATAGTAGTTTGCAAAGGAAGTTTTCTATTTCTTGGTATCTGTAATTTTATAATTCCTTTATACAGCAGGTGTTTATTTCTGAGGACCTTCAGCAGGTATTTATTTCTGAGGATCTTCATTGGGTTTTGAAGGCATACCTAAGCAATGCAACTGAAATTAATTAAAAAAGCTGTGGAACATACATGTTTGTATTATTATGTGGGGTTTGGTTTTTGGGGGGGGTTAGGGGAATTTTTTTTAGCGTTATTTGAAAAGTTCTATTTAGCACCCTGGAGAAAAACCATTAAACAACTCTGCATTTTGTTTTTTAGTGTGCAGTGACCTGGAATTCAGGGAAGTTGCCAACAGATTGAGAGACTGGTTTAAGGCACTTCATGAAAGTGGAATTCAGAATAAGAAGACTAGGATTGTTCAAAGGCCTGAAAGAAGCAGTAAGTGATTTCTGCTTGTTTTATTTGATGGTTTTTTTTGATCCTTTTCTGTTGTTTTTCTATTGCTAAGACCTGCTTTATTCTCATGTGCTTTAAATAGGCATGTGTGCAAAACTATAACTTTGGGCTTATCTGAAGTTTGTTTCCTATTTATGGCTTAATACTAATGTAAGATGTTCACTTTAGGTTTTCGATATCATTTGGCAGGACAGCTACCATTCACAATGCTTGAATTTGTGAATGCTATCAAATTAAAGGAAATAAATAAAGGAGCTTAAATTATGTGTGACCCATCTTTGCTAGTTGATGTCACTGTAGGTACTGGTACAGAAAAATAGATGGAAAAGAAGCTTGTAAGTAAAAGGAATTTTTAAGGGTATACTTGAAACTGGAAAAGTCTAAGGAGTACTAATGAAGTGGAAACAGTAGGGGGCATAATTTTTAACTCCCTCAAATATTTAAATAGATTTTTTTTGTTGTGGAAAGTAGTTACAATTTAAAATGTAATTTTAAAAGAGCAATTGAAGTGTGCATTAATAGTTCCAAAAGTGAAGTCCTACTGTGAGGGGAGTCAAAATGGATTTCATAAACCACAGAACTCTACCTTTTGTTATTATGAAGAGCAAATTATGAATTCTTCCAGAGTATATTTCACAGAACTTGACCACCGCTGGCTTCTTACTTTACTTATTTTATTTTTAGCTTTTTAAGTATTTGAGATTTTTTTTAGCTTTTGTTTCTTTCAATTTGTAGCATTACTTGTTCTTTTTTTTTCCAAGAAATACATTAATTTCACTTAATTGGAAATGCCATTTCATTGTGTGATTTTTTTCATGCTAAGAAAATGTGAATAATTCTGTAAACCAGAATGAATTAAAGATGGTTCTGTCTTATCTGGGAATACTTTTCTTAACATTGAGAAAATTGTTTCTGAGGTAAGGTGGTAGTACAGTAATGCGACTTTTTATTGATACTGAAAAAAATTACATTTAAACCCATATATTTCCAGTTTACATTCTGTTTAGTGCCCATAATTGGCAGGTGATCTGCTTCCTGTGCAGTAGAGTAACCAATAGAAGTACAAAGTTTGGAGCCATTAAGTAAGAATTTGTTGTATAGTTAAAAAGAAAGTGTATCTAATTATGTTGGTTAGTGTATTGCTCAGTTGAGGGTTAATTGAAATATGCAGTATTCTGTTTCTTGCTGAATTCTGACTTTGAAATTTGGGCAGTGATAAAGGAAGCAACTGTATAGCTATTAAGTATTATGTCCCGCATAAATAACAAATTGGTGTTTCCTGAAATTGGATTCCATGTAATGCAAGAAAGTAAAGTTTATAATTAATACTTTGAATACATTGAGGTACAGTGCAAACAAAGTTCTTAACAGTGAGATTTTTACCTTGGCTTTTCTCCTTAAGCACACGGGTAGTTTTGATAAGACATACAGTCTCTACTTGAAACAGGGATTTGTCCTGTGATGTGAATGTGAATATAATATAATCATATTTATTATGTCACTTGTTTGTTTGCAAATTTTTACTTTATAATAGCAATCAAAGACTATATTTAGAGTTAAGATTCAAGATTTTAATATATGAGGCTAGAAATAGAAGAATCTTGTGGATTTTTTGGCACTCAATTTTGGAAGCCTTCAAGTCATAAAGTTCTCTCCTTTGGCATTGCACAGAATCTGCACATATTTTAGGAGGTACATGAAATTTAAGGCACAATTTAGATTGCATGCTATTCTGCCATTTTTGAGATATAGAATCAAGAGCTGATTTGGATGGCTAAGAATAGACTTTGCAGGGCTCTTTTTCATCAGCAGGTAAAAGATTGGAATCTCTGTGGAAACTTCTATTTCCTATATATTACTGACTTTAAATCATTTGTCAATATTATTATATCGTCCTGTTATAAATTTTGACTTGTTTTTATCATGGTATCAGAATTTGGAATGTTGTCCTAAGTATTAATTTATTACTGATTCTAAATTTGATTGAACTTTGATGATGGGCTTTGGAATGCTTATTTTCTTTTTACTAAAATAAAGCAAATCAAGTTTTACAAAACGGTTACATGTGAGACATTCAGTTTGTCCTATATTTTCTTCTTTTTCTTTTCAAAAAAGAGTTATTCAGCAAAAACCTATAGTGTTTCATACTTGAACAATAAGTTTTCGGTGGATAATGTTTCAGTACTGCAGTCAGTTACTCAAATTGCATGTGGCACTATATAATATAGTGAAAAAATACTTGTTTAGATATAAACATCCTATTTGTGCAGTATTTACTCGATTTTATAAATAGCCAATATTTAAATGTTTGTAATAATTTGACATGCTACTGCTGGAAGGCAGTCCATCTATGGACAGAAACCAATTGAATGAATGTATGTTCAGTAATAGTTTTTTTTTCATTTGTAGATTTGGGGATGCACAAATCATTTTAAAACTGGTTTCAGTAGTGCTGTATGTTTTTCCTGTTATGTAAATTTTTGTACTTCAAAATTTCTCATTTAAGACAGCAAAATACATATTGCATTTTATGAGAAATGAACAAGTCTATTGTTTAGAAGAAGAAAATTTTGTATCACTATGTCCCTGAAAATGCATAAAGAAACAAAAAATGTGATAGCCATTTAACATGGTAATGTCCTTTTTTCATACCATTAAAAAATTCTTTAAATTGTTCTTGAAGAGCAAAGTTCTCAAGTAATATCCCTTGATGGCTGCTTCCAAAGTCATAGGAGGTCCAAGACATCAGGCCTATTGATATCTAAGTATCTCAGGGCATCCAGGCCATACTGATACTGCCCAGTCCCTATTTTGGAGGTGCCAGAAAGCTACAGCTAGAAATAAAACTTGCAAAGAAATTCTTATCATGCCTAACGACTCTACACTTAGCACATGAGACATGGTGGTCTGTGCAGTAAAACAGCTGCAACAAAAAGCCACCTGAATGCGACTTCCCCTTTCAGAGTCTGATCTAAGAGATCCCTGAAGCTGTTCATTACCCTTGGGGAGTTAAAAAATCTTTTTATCACCCTCTTCCCCTAGGCTTTCCTGTATTCCTATCAGAAAATTCCTTCCTCACTGAAAAACCATTCTGCATTTAAAGCAGCAACTTGTGGCATCCTCTCTGGCAGTCTCTTTGTATTTTAGGTTTTTTTTCATATTTCAGTCACTTTGGTGGCATTTAGGATGGGATATTTTAAAAGACTTGAGCACAGTCCTTCTGACCAAGGCATGGTGCAAGCTTATAGTGCCTCACTAGTGCTTTTTAGAGTTGTTCCAGCTAATAAATAATCCACTTTGTTCCATACAATCATTAATATACGTAAAAAACCTAACAATGGTGTTCTGCTAGAGCCATCAATATGCTGTTAACAAGTTAAAAATGTCAGGTGCCTACATTGCTGTGTTCGTTTACAAAGTAAGATAATTTTGTATTACTGACACTTCTTTCCAAAGCGGAATGAAAAATCAAGAGTAGGATATTTCAAAAAATAATAGGATATTATTTCCAAAATACCTTTTGGGTCCAGATGTGGTCAAATGTAACGTATCTAAAAGTATCAGTAATATAGATGCTGCATACACGCTTAAATCTTTTTCTCAGGCCATTTATGGTCTAAATAGATGACACAAAGGGGAAAAGTAAATTTGACTCCCATACTGCAATAAGACACCCATTATTTTTAGTTTATGGATCAGAATATGTGGAGTTAGAAAAAATAAGTGACATTTTATATACCTGTTTAAAGTCTATTAGAATATTTGTTTTATTTCTGTATTGGTTTTGTATGATAAAACATAAAATGAATGCATCATATGCAAGCAAAAAAAAAAATACCATAGTCCCAGAAATATTTCTGGTAACAGGCAGTCTGTTTCTGAGAAATACTTGTCTACCTTGTCATGTTAAAAGATGAAAGACCAGAGGCCAAAGGTAATAAATGGGAGACTCTTCTTATGGCTTGGTAATAATATGATGATTTGGAGTCCAATACACTAATAATTTTGAAAATAACCTAAAAATACAAGAAGTCTGAAAGCAGATTGCTTATAAGTGCCTTGTCTGGACATAGCATAGTAAGATATTATTACACTAAAATTGACAAATCCCTATACAAAATTTCAGTAGGAAAAGACTAATTTTTTTAAAAAAAGTCAATAAAATAAGCAACTTCAGATTTTTGTTTGAAGATTTTCATTTCATTCTGACTGTCCTCAGTTCCTTATTGATGAAGAGATAAGCTGATATTATGCAGTGATAAATTATATTTCCCTGATCTTCACTGCCAAAGCATATTTGAAAACCCTGATATACAAACAGAACTCATGAGAATAATAGGGTTTTCCTTACTCCTAGAATAAGAAAGGAACTCCTAGAGCTGGAAAGAACTGTGGTTTTTTGATGTCTTCAAAACACTGATGGCTCCAGAATTTGTCTAATTCCTGAGATTATTTCAGAAACCTGAACTGCAAAGTCGAATAGGCTGACAACCTGAACCATAGTTCTTGTTTACTAGAAAGAAAAGGTTCTTCCAGTGAATTTCTGCATGTGTCAGGTTAGCTCATGCAAAGGCACCCTCAATGCAAGGGCCTGGAAGAAGAAATCCAGCCAGAATTAATTCTGAACAGGAATTTTAATAGATCCATCTCTACTAAAAACTAAGTCTCTAAATGAACCACATGAGTGTTGTTGACTGAAATTGGTTTTTTGTCAATCTTCCATACAGAATTATCCTTACACACAATGAAACATGTGGGTTACTTTACTGTACTGTACTTTACTTTTTCCTCAGTTATCTTCTTTCCTCTAACAGTCACTCCTGTTAATAAAACATGTGGGTTACTTTACTGTACTGTACTTTACTTTACTTTTTCCTCAGTTATCTTCTTTCCTCTAACAGTCACTCCTCCAGTAAATCTGGTGTCCTAAATAACAAATTTTATCTGATCCCTCAATATATTAGGAAACTGATAGCTTCTTA